CTTCAAGTTCCGATGAGATGGAGATGACAATGATGGTGGAAATTATGAAGAAATGCCACTTCTCTCCTCCATCCTATTAATTATTATGTACTTATTTCAAAAAGGATAATGGTGTTTGACAAGGCCACGTAGGCCTTGTTCAACCAAGGGGACGACGTGGCACCCCCTATAGGCGGGGCACCTATCCCTGATCATGTAGCGCGATCATTTCAAAAAATTCTCAAAAATCTAGATCTACATTACAAAACTTGCGGCCACTACTTTCTAGAACCTAGATCTGGAATTTCATATCATTGTTTTGATTTCTTCATTTTGATGTTTGTGTTGGGGGGTGGCGTTGATGGTGGTAATGTTAGTCTATTGTGGTGGTGCTAAAGTTCGGGGGTCATGGTTGATGGTGGACAATGGCGATCATGGTGGTGGCGGTTGTTGCAGTATAACATTAGAATAATGTTGAATGAACAGGGGCCGATGTGGCCTTTTTCGTGTAGCTCGATTGATAATATTATGATACATAGGTATGATGGGTGTCTATTTGTTTATTAATTGTGACACTGAATTGTAATACCATAAGAGCAATGATGGTGGTGGTGTAAAATTTATTGTTATATGTGGTGGGCCGGGGGTCGCAACAATGGCGAATCAAGTGGTGAGATTTGTGTAAGGTTGGGTTAAGGTTGCCTGGTAACTGTGGTCGATTCATGTGCCTAAAAGTTTTTACTATTTATGCATAACATACGATTTAGAAGTCACTAAAAGGGGCTAACAATTACTACTATTCATGCAGGACACGTGTCAGCAGCTCCTATCGTCAACCTCTTTTTATTTTTAAATTCATTCATTTTCTCGGGACGATCACGTCCACTGCAGTTTTCTCCATTTCCATACGCTACTTCACTTCATCACACAATCAGTGCAGCAAATTTTCATTTCTTCTCCACGTCTTCCTTTATCCTTTTTCTCTTCTTATTTTGCACAAGAAATCACCAGCGAGTAAGAAAAACTAATGCCCTGTTTGATAGGTCACATTAACCAATTAACGTGCAACACACGTTTAAACCCATTAGTATTATATAAAATGAAAACTAACCATAATATTTGGCTAATTCAATATGCAGGTGAAGCGTCAAATGATTTCAAAATTCGTCTCGAGGGATGAATCGAGAGAGATTTTAATTAAAGTTGTGGGTTTTCACCCTTTATTCGCCATCTTCATAATTATGGATTGAATCGTTAAAAACAATTTATTTTGCTTTCCACATCACTACTCCATCAAGATATCTTATGATCTACTAACCTTGAATTGAAGAAATTTATGGTAAAATTTATTTGTAAAATCTACTTTTGAAAACATAAAGTCAAAATATGTGCCCGTGGATTATTTTCTCAAATCGACCAAAAATATGTACTATATAATTATTAACATTATAGGAATCAAACCAGACCAATTCGTTCCCTCGAATCGTTCAATAAAATTTTGTATACACACACCCACATCGATACATGCCTGCATGCATAGTTTGATGTGATGTGAAGAGAGAAATGGTTAATTTGTATGGACATTAATTATGAACCAAAAAGGATAGACAATTCCTAACCCTTATTTTCTCCCTAAAAATTCTCTTATTCTCCATATTTTTCTCTTATTTTGAAACAGCCTGACTTCTTTTCTCTGTTGGATTCATCCTCCTCGTTATGCCGTATCTCTTTCTTTTCTCCATTCCTCATTGTTTTGAAGCTCTTTCTACATTTTTTTGGAAGACAACATGGTACCCATGCTTTCCTTTCTTTTGATGGGTTTATTTCCGTATTTGCGCATCATGTTCTTAGAAAAATACGATTCATAAGACATGTATAATTTTTTTTTTTTTTATGATAATGGTTTTTATATCATATTTGTCATAATTATAAAGTTGTTGGGGTTCTTAGAAACGTATGATTCACGACGCCTAGATAATTTTTGCTTATGATCATGATAATGAATTGTACATCATATTTGTGATTTATGAACGTTTGTCGGGTCCTTAGATAATATGATTCAAAACAGGTATAATTTTTGTATATTTGTTTTCTTATAAAATATGATTCACCCTACACATTTAATTTTTTGTTTACACTGATAATAAATTGTACGTCGTATTAATTTGTCATGCATACGAATTGGTGCAAAATTAATTTTTAGCCCATGTTTGATACACATTCTTAAAAAAATCTATCCTTTCAAAACTCATTTTCATTCACACAATCTTCAATAAGATAATATCACACGCAGATCCAAAAATTTTTCTTATTTTTTAATCACATATTTTCCATCATATCACATCATAAAATGCATTTTCTTTTCGATAATGTGCATCAAACACCTATTTTATGGGATCGATAAAATTTCAATGAAAATTGTCTAAAATACACATTGTTAACATTTTAGAATTATTGCTAAAGTTAAATTTAGGTCTTTATGTACTATCAATAGTATCACTTTTTGGTTTAATTTTTATCAACGTCCTAGTTATGACTCGTTTCCACTTATTTATAAAAACCAATTCGATTAAGTTTGTAGAAAATGATAGTTATTTCTTTATATAACAAATTCTACTTTTAGATAAAGTAGTCAAACATGATACTGGGCATCTGTATGGTGTAGATTAAAATCTAAATTCAAATTTAAGTTAAAATCAACAATCAATTTTAACAGGGAGTCACAACTTCTACCATACATTTTATTGAATTTTATCAAAATTTACCAAAATTTTGATTTTTAACTATACCAAACAGGAACTAGATAAAACAGTTCTTCTAATTCTAGACATTGCATCCACCTCTTTATGAAAATTTACTGCAATTAACCTATATCAGCAAAATATAACTAAAAGGAAATAAATAAATTTCTAACAATTTAAACTTTTCAATAACATCCAAGAATAAATCGACTTTCTTTTGTCTCGCATATATATAATGATATTGACTTGTATATCTTGTGAAATGAATATATTGCCTGCTATGACCGAATTTAAAATTAATTTTTAAAAATTACAAATATTTATTTTTTTACTCTCTCTCTTGTTTTCTATTAATTTGGCAGGCAAATTCTGCATCTGGAATGGCAGTCCATGATGAATGCAAACTGAAATTTTTGGAATTAAAAGCAAAAAGAAACTATCGTTACATAGTATTCAAGATTGAGAATCAACAAGTTATTGTGGAGAAACTTGGGGATCCTCAAGACAGTTACGATGATTTCACTGCCTCTCTGCCTGCAAGTGAATGCCGTTATGCCGTCTATGATTTCGACTTCACTACTAATGAGAATTGCCAAAAAAGCAAGATTTTCTTCGTTGCTTGGTATGCTATTTAAACATATATATGTGTGTGTGTGTGTGTTGTGTGCTTGACTTTGGTGAAGTTTTTATATCTTGAGCGTTAGTGTTGGAGACTGATTGAGGTTGACCTTCAATAGTAGAGGTACATGAAGTATTTGTTGATTGTCTAGTTTATGAGGAAATATTTTGTAGGTTAATTTATCTGTTAGTTTGGACATGATATAGGATCGGGCTTTGATCATTTTATCTGAAAATCAATTGGTGTCAAGTAAGAACGGACTAACCTTTTATGAGTGAAATCATGGTCTTAAGAGTGGAATTGTTGCTCCCCAACACGTGAAAATGAGAAAGCACCTATATTGTTATGTTTTTTAATATATTTTAGATGTCTTACGTATAGTGAGAACATATTTGGTATGTTAAACTAAATAATATTGTACATAACTAAAAAGTAGAAGCATGTGAGTTGTTTGTTTGTTTCCATGTCTAGTCTAATGTACTATGAGATCATTTTATTTTTTATTTTCATTATGTTAAGATGAACTCATGAATGCATGTTTGACACTTTAAACTAAACATAATAAAAGAAAAACATATTAGATCTCTCTCTTGGTTAATTATTCAATTCTATCTAGTTTAATATATACCTGGAACTCGTTTGATATGTTGTACTAACAAAATAAAAGAAGAAAGACTCGTGAAATATTTATCCATTGCCCTATCCAATTCATGGAACATTCAAGGCATGAACATAAAACACATACAAATCTAACACATTTGTATTTTTTAATCTTATCTAATCGTGAATAAATTATATTGGTGTTTGTATAGCACGATAGGTATATCAATTGCCTGTAAGTAAACACAAGTACATGAATTTTGGGATGACTTGGGAGTACCCTTTTAGTAAGATTTCGCACGAAGTATTGAATATGATTGAATAGTATTTTGAAAAATAAAATGAAGAATTTAAATTCTTGTTCATTGCAGTGTTCATAATATTCATCAAACATGCTCATTTTGTTTTATTAACCTAATATGTGCAAAAATGGAATTTCAGGTCACCGGAAACCTCTAAAGTGAGAATGAAAATGGTGTATGCAAGTACAAAAGACAGATTTAAGAGGGAATTGGATGGAATTCAAGTTGAATTGCAAGCAACTGATCCGAGTGAAATGAGCATTGATATTGTAAAAGCGCGTGCACTCTAAAAGCTTGTTTGCCATGGTTGAAATGCCACAAAAGTAGTTAAAAACTTGATTCTTTTATAGTAAGAAGGGTCTTATCAATGAAAGAAGACCAATTTTTTAGTCAATTTTGATGAAAAAACCGCTTCTTTTGTAGAAAGAAACAAAGCTAAACGTTCTCATAATATCGTAGTTCTCTTCATTCTTCAGCCATCTCTAACTTTATATATTCTGGCTTGTATTTTTTTCCCTTTTTGCTTGCAAGCACTGACAATGAAATTTTTGTTGTAATTTACTATTTCCGACTTTGACCTTTAAATTATAATGTAAACAAACCAGCATAAAAAATCTGAACAGGCAGGAAAATTTACATTTCGAATCCTTAACCTATAGATAATGTGACATTTTGGGTTCATAATTTTTGTTCATGCATTTTGACTTTTCAAGTTCAACACTTATATCTTCATTACATGATTTATTAGATAGTTATAAAGTTACATGCAACATACATAAAATATTGTTTGAGAGGTGAAATAAGTAAATACAAAATACTTTAACAAAAAGAAAAAGAAGAAATGGAAAGAGTCAAGTTGTTATTAATTCTACTGTTTCGACAATAGTTACTAATCCAAACCTGCAAATCCAGTCAAGAAATCGATGGATCGAACCTTCGTCTTCGAGAGAAGTTTCAATAGTGGGGGTTAAAAACCCCTTGTGAATGTTTCTTTGAGTCACACACCACGTGGCTAATGCCTTGAAATCATGAAAGACATGAAACTATTACATTATAATAGATTTTCAATGTCCAAAATGTGAAATCATCCACTACATCAAATCTAATAATATACTTCTCAAATTTTATTATACACGAAAATTAATGGAGCAAATTCATTATTTCTATGAACAAGAAATCATTTAAAGCTTCTATTTTATGTTAAATGATAAAAAGAAAATATGTACATGTTTCATGGAGCTCAATTAATATTTTTCTTAAATATTTTTAATGAATAAGCTACGACCCACAAGTTCAATCAATGGCCAACTGTGTCATGGTTCCAAAGGAATTTATGGGGTTTTGAATCTCACATCAGGGCTTCCTTTGTATTGTTTATATAGGGTTGGGTTTTCCAATTTCAACGGCTAACTTTTAAAATATAACTTTTTCAAATTCTATGATATTGGTATCAGAGCATCAAGTCTTTGGGGCCTCGGTTGGTGTATGGGCACTTACAACGCATGTCAAGTTTCCAATGGAAGTTATCGGTTTTTGAATCCCACATCGGAAGTATAGACTTTTTTGTATGGTTTATATAGGTTTGGACTCTCTAACTTCAACGGTTACCATTTGAGATATGGCTATCCCAAATTATATGATATTGATATCATGTCGCGTGAAAGAAAGCAATCATAAATCAAAAAAGGGTGGAAGCAACAATGAAAGGAAGCGGCATCGTTTTTTGTTAATTCCTATTAGACGTTTTATCGAGTTGCTTTAAGAAAAACACGTTTTTTGGTTGTTAAAAACCAGACAAGAAGAGGATGACAGTGAAGTTTGTATCGGAATTCTCTCTATTATCATCATCTTCTCTCATAGCTCTTTTCTCTTCCTTTTCTGCAATTCTATCTATAATAAGAATTTAAATGTTCTCCTTGTGAGACTTGTATCTTAGCTAAAAGTCATCGTGCAGTATTTCCGAAAATTGATAATAAAGCATCAATGCCATTTACTCTAATTCATTCGACCGCTGATCTAGTGACCTTTAACTCAGTTAAATGAGTGTCCAAGTTGAGTTTTATAAGCCCCTGTTTGATACCATTTAAGTCCATTTTTGACACACATTTTTTCAAAACTCATTTTCAAGCACAAATTCTTCAATAAAATAATATTTTTCATCACATCAATACATTTTTCTTACTTTTTAACCACATATTTCTCATCATATCACTATTTAAAATATTTTTTTTTTCAATAATATCCATCAAACACACGCTAAATTTCAGATTTTAATTTAAGTCAAAGTCAACAATTAATTTTAACAACATATTTCATGGGTCCCACGAGTTTTCAGCTATACATTTCACCAAATTTTATCAAAATTTACTAAAAATCTGATTTTATTCTCTACTGAATGTGCTTTAAATATGGTTTCACCTTCCTCATATTGACAATTTGGGGAGGGGAAGAATGGGGATACTGTAGAGCTAGGAGAAAATATTTTTTAATTAGTTTTTATTAGTTTTTATTTTTTGGTATTTTAAGTGGACAAAAATCGCCTAATGAGATGAAAGTACGACAAGTTTAAAAGATTAAGGACTCAACAGAAAGAAAGAAAGAAAAAAAAAAGGTTGAGACCCAGATTGAAGATATTTGCATATGTTTGAGCCCTATTCTTTTGCGAAAATGAATTTTGAAATAGTAATTTGATGGAAAATGTATGATTAAAAAATAAAGAAAATTTTTGAATTTGCGTATAATATTATTTTAGTAAAAAGTGTGTAATTAAAAAGAAAAAAGAAAAAAATATATTTTTAAATTAATGGAGATCAAACATGATCGTACAACTATCTGCACGTCACATCAGCAATTGAAGGTTTCAAGTTCGTATTCCTTACTTTGTTCGCAAGTTTGGTTCAATGATCGCTACATCTGCTCTCACTTCACCACTCCAATTTTTTTTGTGCCAAAATCTTATCCTTATGGGGTCATCCTCCACCCACCCCACCATCTTAGAGTGAATAGCACTTCTGCTACCATATACCTCATTTTAGTCCAGAATTTCATAAAATGAATGAATAATAAGCGAATAAAAAATTTATAAGGGTTATGCTATATGTATATCCAATTTTTTACATAATCTTTTACCTACACTCATAATAGGGTGCAGGGACCACACATTTGAGAGTTTTTTTATTCACGAGGACCCCGCGCGCATGTGAGAAGGTGACACATTTTTAATAACCCACATTCGGTACAAATAAAATTATCCGATTTATAAATTAAACGCCATCCAGCTTAACGATGAAGTTCCTTAAAGGAAATACTCTATCGATATTTTTGCAGCTACTTCTACTATTCAATTAAAATCGAACTTTAATTTTAGTCATAAGTTTAAAACTATGATAAGAAATTTCTACAATGATATTATATATTAGAATAATCTCCACATAATCATAAAAAATCCTGGTCTCAACCTGGCAAAATATAGAAAAGAATACACTCAAATAAATTACCATTTTTACAGGTCTCGTCTTAAAGACTTGTCTTCACATAGTAATAATTATCTATATACGACATGATTTTTAGAGAGAAACGTTAAAGAGAGTGAAATATTTAGTCTCTTAATGCGACTTTTGGATATCTTAAATGCTGTATAGATACTTATATTTTTTTATACTATGTGTATATCTTTTATTAATATCTATACCTTGAATTTGACATGTTTCTTTAATTAATTATTAATATAGTCCATATTTCACTTCTATACTACTAGCACTATGGATAACAAGACACAATAATAATTTTTGTAACTCTGCATTATAATCTCCTCACAGTAAAAAAAAAAATAAAAATAAATGGCCCTATTTTTTATGGAGTAAGATCTAAATTTTAAATTAAATCAACCTTGAGGGGTTGCTCAATTGGTCAGACTTTGAGTTTGCTTCCCAATGGTCATCAGTTAGAATTCCTTCAAAACTATTGAGGTGGGTACCCAACTGTAAATTTTAGGGTCCCGTGAAATAAGTCGAGATGCGCGCAAATTGGCCCGAACATCCACGGTTATAAAAAAAAATTTAATTAAGTCAAAATCAACAATTTACTTTAATCACATATTTTATGTGATTTACAACTTTTTAACTATATATTTCATCAAATTTTATCAAAAATTATATATATATAAAAATTGATTTTAATTCATACCAAACAAGGACTTAATTTGACCTCAACGTTGTGATTAAAGAGAGATTTGACCGTACACTTATTATTCACATATTTTCTTAATTTTCACCACTATTTCTCTTTAAAAATTTTATCAAAATTTACTAATAATCTTTTAGAGGAGAAGTATAGCACCTATTTGGTATGAATAAGGATGGTATATACTCAGTTTGACAGCCCCCTCACATGGGGGTTGGGATCCGTGATTTCTAAAATTGCGGGCACATCCCCTATGTGAGGGAGCTGTCATGCTAGATCTAAAATTTCTCGTTTGGCATACTTAAAAATTAAAATTTTAGTAGATTTTAATAAAAATTAATAAAATATATATAGTCAAAAAGTTATAAATTCCATAATTTATAACTAAAATTAATTATTAAATTAAATTTAAATGTTTATCAATATTTTAAGCTACGCCAAAGATGAACTTTTTCTAAATTGTTACTTTTTAGCACTATCAGATCTATAACTCAGTGACAGTCACGTGACCCGCCACCCAATCACGTGCACCCTTTCGCCAACAGGCAACTTTTCCACGTGACTCAGCGCGTTAATTGGCACCGACGCTTATATCGCGTATAAGCATAAATCTTTACCTGCCTCGTGTTTTGAATTTTATTTTTATTTTTTTTTCATAAAATATTTGAAATTGATGCAAATTTTCCCACTTAAAACACATTTCCCCTATTTAAACCGCCCTTCGCCCCTTCCATTCTCACTCTAACAGACCATCAAATTCAAGCCCTCAATTTCTCTCGCTTGCTATAAGCTTGTTTGGAAGAGATTTTTGGGGGAAGAATTGATTTTGAATAGTGATATGATGGGAAATGTATGATTGAAAAAGAAGAAAAAATTATTGATGTGATAAAAAATATTATTTTATTGAAGAATGTGTGGTTGAAAATGAGAATTGATTTACTGTAAAAAAATTTAATTCCTCCCAAACAAGACTTATTTCTCCATCTGCCTTTACATATATATACCTGTCTATATCACCGTCTCCTAACGTGCAACTCCACAATGCGTGAAATCTTGCATATCCAAGGAGGCCAATGCGGCAACCAGATTGGCGCCAAGTTCTGGGAGGTCGTGTGCGCGGAGCACGGAATTGATTCCACCGGAAGGTACAGCGGCGACAATGATTTGCAACTCGAACGCGTGAACGTGTACTACAATGAAGCTAGTTGCGGAAGGTTCGTCCCACGCGCCGTCCTCATGGACCTCGAGCCTGGAACGATGGACAGTGTCAGATCGGGGCCGTACGGGCAGATCTTCCGGCCGGATAATTTCGTTTTCGGGCAGTCGGGAGCCGGAAATAACTGGGCAAAGGGGCATTACACCGAGGGAGCAGAGCTCATTGATTCGGTTCTCGATGTGGTGAGAAAAGAGGCTGAAAATTGTGATTGCCTCCAAGGTTATATTTACTAACACTAACTCCTATATTTACTAACACTAACTCTATAATTATTTTTTTCCTTTGAAGATGGTTTGTGTCTTGCAGTAGTAAATAATTTTAAATTAGTATGGTATCTGAAATATGAATATACATCTCTGTGTAAGTAGTTTTCTGAAATGGTCTTGAGTGTCCCTTTTTAGTAGATCCGGTATTTTGAGGATGAATTAAATTATTATTAATTATTACCTTACCTTGATTTTGCAAGTGATATCGAAATTATTTTTTCTACTTTCAAATGGTTACTAGATAGTATTAAATTCACGCTTTTACATATCGATTGTGGAGCGTTCTATGGAGAGTTGAGTTGATGTTGCAATTTTGTGTTGTTCCACTTATCTATTAATTCATCTATTTTCTGTTTTTTCTTATTTTTATGTTTTTTAATCATAAGTTGAAGTATAGGAGTATGAATCTAATGCATGTGTGGTAAATCCGTAAATGCAGTCTGTTTGCATTTTGTATCTGAAATCCACATTTGTTTATCCACCATATTCAAGACCTATAAATCTTTAGTATTCTCACTTTTTCCATTTCACTAATTTGTGTTAGTTTGGATATTTGAAACGGTATTTGAGTATCGGTTGTGCTATATATGCATAATGATTTATATAATAATTTACATACACGTGATGTAAACTTCTCCACTCTCTTTTTGATATCTCATCTGCATGTAAATCATTTTATAACTCCTTATTTACAAGTAGCACTTTTAAGTATTGATTGTGCTACATGTACATAATGGTTTTCATCCACGTGACATGTTGAGATATGATTGTAGATAAGCATTTTCATAATTATGTGAAATTCTCACATCTGTTTATACATAGATATTTTTTGGGTCTTAATTTGTACATTTTTCGTAATTAGTTCTACATATTTGTTACTAACAAACCAAATTGGGGATGTATAATTTTTCACAAGATCATTGGAATTACTACACACCAGCAAGATTTGAGCCTTAAGATTGAAAACAAATTCAAATCTGAACAGAAAATAATTTCTAATTCTTATTTTGAGGAACCAATTCAATCCGTCTTTGCTCGTGTAGCTGTTTTGGGTAAGGATTTGACAATTCCTAGCTATATGATTTTTCGCATACGGCATAACCTTTGCACACGAAGGATTACAGTCAATTTCATAAATAGTAAAAACTTACATGTCCACAATCTGTTCTTTTATCTTAATTACTTCCACCCTAACCATTTTGGGTATTGCTTTGCTGTGTTTATGATCCTTTTATGAGTTTTTCAGGTTTTCAAGTGTGCCACTCATTGGGAGGTGGAACGGGATCAGGAATGGGAACTCTTCTCATATCTAAGATTCGGGAAGAGTACCCAGATCGCATGATGCTTACATTCTCTGTTTTCCCATCCCCTAAGGTGTCGGACACTGTTGTTGAGCCCTACAATGCTACTCTATCCGTCCACCAGCTTGTTGAGAATGCTGACGAGTGTATGGTTTTAGACAACGAAGCACTCTATGACATTTGCTTCCGAACCCTGAAACTCACAACCCCAAGCTGTAAGTTATGGTTTAAGTTTTATCAACTTATATCCACTAGAGTTGTGACAAGGAATGTAATCTGTTTTCTGTGTGTCTATGTATAGTAGTCACGAGCTAGTTTTCTTAGGTTTTACCTCTGGCTAACGTTTCTTTGAACATCATTAAGCTATTTGGGAAAAATACTGATTTGTTAGACCATGCAGCTGTAGACATGTAATGCATATTTTTATTTGAACATATTTCTAATTCAGGGTGCTTAGATCAATTTATGCATATGTTTGCCCCCATTTTTTTAGAAACTTATTTTTTCAAAATTCATTTTCAATTACTCATTCTTTCATAAAATAATTTTACATGTAAATCGAAATTTTTTCCTTATTTTGTTATCACATATTCTCTGAAAAATCATTGTTTCAACACAGTTTCATACAAAAATGGGACTCAAACAAGGGCTATATGTGTAGTATTGTAAATATATCAATCATGTTATATGTACATCTTTGTTGACATTAAGTTTGACATTGTTGTAAGGTATTTTTTACACATTGATTTTAACAATATTTTAAACAATCAATGACGTAGATTTTGTCAACACATGGGGTGTCAAACTTGGCCCTTGGTTGGTCCCCATTAAATTAAAATTCATTTTTCTCTCTCTTCTTATCAACTATACATTTTCCAATGAAATAATATTACAAGTAAATTCAAAAAAAATTCCTTCTTTTTTAACCATACATTCTTCAAAAAATTATTATTCTTCTCATTATAATCTACAATAATGAAGCCCAAACATGGGCTTAATGTTGCCCAATTGTGTACCGCACGTGTAGTTTAATCCTAAAATACACTCTGTTTAGTTTTCAGGAGGTCTCGTGTCTTCTCTTAAATTTTTTTTTTTTTTTTTGATATTCTTTGAAATCTGTTACACAAAGGCCTGTGCATGTGTGTGGTCTTTGATCAACTTTTAACAGCACGATGCATTTTCTTGACCAGTTGGAGACCTAAACCATCTCATTTCTGCTACCATGAGTGGCGTAACTTGCTGCCTTCGCTTCCCGGGTCAACTCAACTCTGATCTTCGTAAGCTTGCCGTCAACCTCATTCCATTCCCTCGGCTTCACTTCTTCATGGCTGGGTTTGCTCCACTCACATCTCGTGGGTCGCAGCAATACCGAGCCCTCACTGTTCCTGAACTGACCCAACAAATGTGGGATGCAAAGAACATGATGTGTGCCGCTGATCCTCGCCATGGTCGTTATTTGACAGCCTCAGCCATGTTCCGCGGCAAGATGAGTACTAAGGAGGTTGATGAGCAAATGATTAATGTACAAAACAAGAACTCGTCTTACTTTGTCGAATGGATCCCGAACAATGTGAAGTCTACCGTTTGTGATATTCCTCCTACCGGTCTGAAGATGGCTTCTACCTTCATTGGAAACTCAACATCAATCCAAGAGATGTTCCGGAGGGTGAGTGAGCAGTTCACAGCTATGTTTCGTAGAAAGGCTTTCTTGCATTGGTATACTGGAGAAGGGATGGATGAGATGGAGTTTACCGAGGCCGAGAGTAACATGAACGATTTAGTTTCCGAGTACCAGCAATATCAAGATGCAACAGCAGACGAGGAAGGTTATGATTATGAAGATGAAGAGGATGTCGAAGAGGAGGCCTAGACGTTTAATCTTGGATTGGATCTTGATTTTTATAAATGGTTTTTTTTTTCCCCCACTTTTGAATAGAGTGTGGATTGGAATTACTGTGCTTTGGGGAATGCAGCTCTATCTCCAATTTGCCCTGTTTCGTTTACTTTAGCGTATAAACTACGTTACTTTTTTTGATTGTTAATGAAGTCTTCTAGGTTAATCACTTTTAACTTGCCATGAACTAAAATTACGTATAAGTTTATTTTTTTAGATTAAGCAAACAGGGTCACGTTGTATCATAACAACAATGAAATTTATAGTGTATGCATTGCAGAATCCTAGTAACTGTTGGAAATGAGCTGTTGAAACTAATAAAATGGTTATTGGAATTAAAATGGGAAAAGAAATTAAAAAATAAAATAAAATAAAATAAAAAATATATATATATATATAATGAACCATGCGGCCGCATGGTTCATTGGACCATCCGGCCGCATGGCCATATACCGGGACTAAATGTCCCGGTATGTTTTATACCATGCGGCTGCATGGGTTTGTACCATGCAGCCGCATGGTACAATTTTCTGGCAGTTTTTTGGCCGTTTTTTCCCGTTTGGTTTTTGAACTTGGTGTCTTTTCATTTATTTTTTGGCACTATTTCGTGCATTTGATCATTGCCTATATATAGGACAATGGTGTTCAAGGATTTATATATGAAAAACAAGATAAGTTCATAAATACATTCCAATTAAAGATCAAAGTCATTGTTCTTCTTTCATATTCATATTTTCCTTTGTGTTCTTAAATTTTGGAGGATTATACTTAATTGCTTGAGTATTAATCCTTGCAAGGCTTGTTTAAATCCTGCAAACCATTTGCCATCATCCCTTCAAGCATTTTTCAATCCTAAAGGGGGCAAATATTGTTTGAGGACAACGGTATCGTGATCAAGTCTTTTGGTGGATATTTCAAGTTTGATTTCTTGTCTTCGAGTTCGTGTTTAATTGCTGCAACTTTGGTTTGTTTATTCTTCAATTCTCGGTGTATTCTCCATTGTTTTTCAACAATCTCAAACAATATTTTGTAAATGGAGAACGAAAGCACGATGGCTACTATCAAGTTGATGAATCAAGACCTTGTACGATTGGATCGCTTCGATGGAACGAATTTCACAAGGTGGCAAGACAAACTGAAGTTTCTACTTACAACCTTGAAGATCTTCTACATACTTGATCCAGAATTGGCACCATTACCGGAACCTACAAATGGAGAAACTGATGCGGTAAGGGCTGAAAGACAAAAACGCCAAGAAGATGAACTTATATGCCGTGGTCACATTCTAAATGCTTTATCGGACCGGCTATATGATCTCTACACCAACACTTCATCGGCAAAGGAAATTTGGAATGCTTTGGAGAACAAATACAAAGCCGAAGAAGAGGGAACAAAGAAATTTCTAATTTCGAGGTATTTTGATTTCAAGTTTCTTGAAAATATTCCCATACTTCCCCAAATTCATGAATTGCAAGTACTTGTGAATAAGTTAAAGGCGGTAAAGATTGAAATTCCGGAAACTTTCCAAGTGGGGGCTATTATTGCCAAACTTCCCGGAACTTGGAAAGGATACCGGAAGAAAATCATGCATAGTTCCGAAGATTACTCTTTGGAACAATTGCAAAAACATCTTCGAATTGAAGAGGAATCAAGGGCAAGAGATAAGAGTGATAACTCTTATGAAGGTACATCTAAAGCCAATGTCGTGGAGAAATCTGAACCGTCTACTAAAACCAACAAGAGAAAGCCTTCAAAGAATTTCAACAATTCCAAGAAGAAGACCAAAGGTAGTTGTTTTGTTTGTGGGAAATCTGGACATTATGCAAAGGAATGTCGATACCGGAAAAAGAACAACACCGAAGGAAAAGTGAACTCCATCAAAGAAGACAATATTGTGGCCACCGTTAGTGAAATCAATGCTATCAAGGGAAAGGTTCCCGGGTGGTGGTATGATACATGTGCAACTATACATGTATCATATGACAAGTCATTATTCAAGACTTATTTCGAAATTGATGGAGAACAAGAGATTCAAATGGGTAATGAGGTCAGATCCAAGGTGTATGGAAAAGGAAATGTGGATATCACTTTCACTTCCGGCAAGACGGTTACCTTAACAAATGTACTACATGTTCCTGATATGAATAGGAACTTAGTTAGTGGAGATCTCTTAGGAAAACCGGGCATAAAATGTGTTTATGAATCCGGTAAACTTGTACTATCCCTAAATGGGAAATTTGTTGGTAAAGGCTATTCTAGTGAAGGAATGGTCAAACTTTGTACTATTGACAAATCTTTAAATAATAAAGTTGACTTTGCTTATATTGTTGTTGATTCATTTTCATTATGGCATGCTAGATTAGGTCACATAAGTAAAAGTACTATGAAACGTTTGTTAAAATGTGACATGATTTCATATAATGAAAAAGATGCTTATAAATGTAAGACATGTATTGAATCTAAAATGATTAAGAAGCCATATCAAAGGGTTAATAGGACTTCTAATATTTTAGAATTAATTCATACCGATATATGTGAATTAAATGGAATGTTGACTAGAGGTGGTAATAGATATTTTATTACTTTTATTGATGACTACTCTAGGTATACATATGTTTATTTAATCAAGCATAAACATGAGGCTTTTGATATGTTTAAGACATATAAAAATGAAGTAGAAAATCATCTAAGTAAGAAAATAAAAATTCTACGAAGTGATAGAGGAGGTGAATATTTTTCTAGTGATTTTAACTCATTTTGTGAACAACATGGAATAGTTCATCAATGTTCTGCACCTAGGACACCCGAACAAAATGGTTTGGCTGAAAGGAAAAATAGAACTTTAGTTGATATGATTAATGCTATGTTGATGTATGCTAAGTTGCCATTTAATTTATGGGGTGAAGCATTATTGAGTGCATGTAGGATTTTGAATAGAATTCCTTCTAAGAACACTAAGGTTTCTCCTTACGAATTGTGGAAAGGAAGAAAACCAAACATTGGTTATTTCAAAGTGTGGGGGTGTCTTGCTTATTGTAAGAACACAAATCCTAACCGGACCAAATTGGGTCCAAGAGGCATAAAATGTGCTTTTGTAGGATATGCTAATAATAGCAAATCTTACAGGTTATTGAACTTAGAAACCAATGTGATTATCGAATCAAATGATGTGGAGTTCTTTGAGAATTCATTATCTTCGGATAACGAATTGAGGGAAATTCATAATGATATCCCTAGCTCAAGTGGAACACAAGATGAAACATCTTCTAAAGATGTTAATGAATCTAGTGAACCACGAAGAAGCAAAAGAACTCGAATAGCGAAGTCCTTGGGATCGGATGAGATTGACTCTCAACTTATTTCCTTTTATTTGGTAGAGGGAAATAGTGTGAATGTTGTAAGAACAATTCCTTTTGTTCTACAAGTGGAAACTGATCCTAAAACTTATAAAGAAGCTATGACTTCGCGTGATAACATCTTTTGGAAAGATGCCATTAAGGACGAAATGGATTCGATAATGTCAAATAATACATGGGAACTTGTCGATTTGCCACCCGGATCTAAACCTATAGGTTGCAAATGGGTGTTTAGGAGAAAGTATAATACTGATGGTTCTCTTAATACCTTTAAGGCTAGATTAGTAGCCAAAGGTTATCGACAAAAGGAAGGAATCGATTATTTTGACACATATGCACCGGTAGCTAGAATAACATCTATTAGGATATTATTTGCTCTAGCTTCGATATATGATTTGCATGTTCATCAAATGGATGTCAAGACGGCATTCTTGAATGGGGATCTCGATGAGGAGGTCTATATGGAACAACCTGAAGGGTTCATTTTACCTGGAAATGAACATAAGGTGTGCAAGTTAGTAAAATCATTATATGGTTTGAAGCAAGCACCTAAGAAATGGCATGAGAAGTTTGACTTAGCGATAATTTCTTTTGGTTTTAATCATAATAGTGTAGACAAATGTTTATATTGTAAAGTATGTGAAAATTATGTGATATTTATTTGTCTATATGTTGATGACATGTTGATTATGTGTAATCACATGGATGGGATAAAAGAGACGAAGAGGTTTCTATCTTCCATTTTTAAGATGAAGGATCTTGGAAAAGTGGATACTATTTTAGGTATCAAGGTTACCAAAAATAGTGGGGGTTTTTATTTAAGTCAATCACACTATATAGAGAGTGTGATAAATAAGTTCAAACATTTGAACATAAAAGATTGTAGTACCCCACTTGATCCAAGTTCAAAGCTTATGAAAAATGATGGAAGAGAAATTGCTCAACTGGAATACGCAAGTGCCATTGGTAGTCTCATGTATGCTGTTCAATGCACGAGACCGGATATAGCGTTTGCAATTAGTAAACTTAGTAGGTTTACTAGTAATCCGAGCAATGACCATTGGAAGGCCATTGGAAGAGTTCTTGGATATTTGAAGAAAACCAAGAATTTAGGTCTACAATATACTAAATTCCCGGCTGTATTGGAAGGATTTACCGATGCTAGTTGGATATCTAGTACGGGTGAAAGTAAATCCACTTCAGGTTGGGTGTTTACTCTTGGTGGTGGGACTGTTTCTGAAATCAAAGAAACAGACATGTATAACACACTCAACTATGGAATCTGAATTCGTTGCACTATCGGAAACTGGGAAAGAGGCTGAGTGGCTTAAGGAACTCTTATACGAGATACCTTTGGGACCGAAGATAATATCTTCTATACCTATCATGTGTGATAGTCAAGCCACGTTAGCAAAAGCATATAATGAAGTGTATAATGGAAAGTCTAGACATATGAGTCTAAGACACGATTACATAAGGAAATTAATCAAGAGTGGAATAATTTCCCTAAATTATGTAAAATCAATTGAGAATTTAGCGGATCCTCTAACTAAACCTCTAAATAGAGATTTAGTAAATTCTACTACAAGTAGGATGGGGTTGAAACTCTTAAACTAAAAAGGTCCACCAGTGATGGCAACCCTACCCATCATTACTCAAAAGTAATTCATGGGTTCAAAGGGTAATAACAAGTCATTCGACATGTGGATAGTTTCAGCATTATTGATATCCGCAATAACCCTATCCTAGTTATAACGCTGGTTGTTACTGAAGTGATGGATGAGTTTTAAACTCTTAATGAAGTTCAGTATTAAGAACAAGTATCTTAAAAGTAACATAGATACTGGAAGAACTTCACCTAAATAAACTTCGAGGTGGTGCCGCCTCAATAGAGAGTTAGAGTTTCTCTCTTAAAAGTTTATTGGAAAAAAGGATTAGCGCAAGGCCATAATAGCGCTAAGCGAGTTTGAGAAATTTGAGAACACGTGATACTCGTGTGTGTGTTCGAACCGGTATTGTCATTTGGAACAAATGGTTCAAAGCTTCATGCTACCTTTGATTCCGACTTTGCTTTGTTTGGATTACACTATGGTTAGATTCAAATCGAAAGATATCTAATCCTTATGCATTAGTATCGTACAATTTTGAATATGAGATTTTATTAGATTTTGAACAAGTGGGGGATTGTTGGAAATAAGTTGTTCAAAACTAATAAAATGATTATTGGAATTAAATGGGAAAAGAATTAAAAATATACATATATAATGAACCATGCGGCCGCATGGTTCATTGGTCCATGCGGCCGCATGGCTATATACCGGGACTAAATGTCCCGGTATATTTTATACCATGCGGCTGCATGGGTTTGTACCATGCAGCCGCATGGTACAATTTTCTGGCAGTTTTTTGGCCGTTTTTTCCCGTTTGATTTTTGAACTTGGTGTCTTTTCATTTATTTTTTAGCACTATTTCGTGCATTTGATCATTTCCTATATATAGGACAATGGTGTTCAAGGATTAAGACATGAAAAACAAGATAAGTTCATAAATACATTTCAATTAAAGATCAAAGTCATTGTTCTTCTTTCATATTCATATTTTCCTTTGTGTTCTTAAATTTTGGAGGATTATACTTAATTGCTTGAGTATTAATCCTTGCAAGGCTTGTTTAAATCCTGCAAACCATTTGCCATCATCCCTTCAAGCATTTTTCAATCCTAAAGGGGGCAAATATTGTTTGAGGACAACGGTATCGTGATAGTCTTTTGATGGATATTTCAAGTTTGATTTCTTGTCTTCGAGTTCGTGTTTAATTGCTGCAACTTTGGTTTGTTTATTCTTCAATTCTCGGTGTATTCTTCATTGTTTTTCAACAGTAACTAAAAATGAAAACCACGTGGAGAAATCATGTTGCATATATACACTATAAAAATGATACAGCGCTCATAGTAGTATTCCTGCCAAATTTATCCACAAAGTTACAATTAACAACGGAAAAAATTTGCACTTATTTTCCTCTGCAGTTGATGCAATACAAATTATGATTATAGGGCAGTGCGTGTTTAAGCTCCAAATTTTGGGACTTTGGCAGTAGAAATTTGTGCAAGGAAGTGCTCAGCTACAATACGTCGCTGGATTTTCCCTGTGGCAGTTTTTGGAAGCGAGTTGGTGATAAAAGTCCTCTTTGGAACCTTGAATGCTGCAAGATTTTTCTTGCAAAATATCGATACCTCAGCCTCGTTGATGTTCGATCCTTCTCGAGGGATAACAGCACAGTTTATCTGAAAATTTTGATGGCCATAATTAGCAAGAATGAGGGAGGGAGGGAGGGGGAGAGAGAAATTGGTAACCGATAGTCTGATATCGATATGACAATTGCATGCAATTTTTTATCAAGAACATACAGATACCTTCTGCTATTAAAATTGAAGAGCATACCAATGAGTTATAATAAAAGTTGAGGCATTTCTCCATTTAACCCTGATAGAAAAGCTAGTTACCAGATAACCACATGAAAGTGCATTGAATTGTATAGCTAATATCAACAATAACAAACGCATATGTAATTAGTGGTCAGATGCAACTTTTAGACAGATTTGCGATTGGGCTGGGATAGCTGTCTTGCATAAAGGCCTACGGAAAAACCATAAGCCCCCATAAGAAAATTCCACACTATCACAGTGCCGGTTTATGTAGTCTTACAATTAGTGCAATGACTTCGCACTGCAAAACTAACTCCGTCTTGAAAATTCTATTCTTTTAAAACACCATACGTGCTCAAGTGTGGGATTTTGGTGTATATATACCCCAGTTGTAGATAAACATTTCTCACCAACCTTGGACCTCGGATGAACGATTCAACAACCCCGGCCAAGACAAGGGCGATTTTTACAGTCATGTCTTGGAAAGTTGTATCTAAATGTCATAAGATAAAGCTGGCTCTAGGCGTCTAGCATTGAACTTGCATGAACCTAGTCAACAGACTGATCAAAACAAGGAAAATCTTTGCCGTTATGTCTTAGAAAGTTGTATCTACCTATTATAATTTGTAGGATGAAGCTGGCCTAGCAGTGCAAGTTCTCTAGTGTAATTTATGGTGTATTTTTCAACTTCCAAAAAGGTGATTCTTTATTGTTCTTCAATTTCTCTTTCAACTTAACCCTCTATAAAATAATTATTTTCAATTTACATGTTCAAAACTAACTTGTAAATAAAAATACAATTACTAAAAAATTTATTTATAAGCAAAAATACTTCATAAATAAAAAATTACTTACAAATAAAAAAAAATTCAATTTTGCGTAAAAAAATTACAGAAAAGACAAATATTCACTTACAAAATATAAAAAGTTGCTTATAAGTGAAACTTCACTTATGTGCAAAAAATTATTTGTAAGTACCAAATTAACTTATAACCGTAAAATTTACTTACAAGTAAAAATTTTAATTATATGCAAATATTTCACCTTTTTAAATTAAAAGTTAACTTATAAGTAAAAAAAATTAATTATAGGGAAAATCACTAAAAATATTTCATATGAGATAATTATAAATTGAAAATGTATTAAGGAACATGTATATATTTTAATTCTTTTGAAAAACTTTCAAAATCCCTGGATAATATTGTTTTAAAAACCGTACTAAAAATCACCCAAAACCAAAAACTTCATAAATGCCCAAATCCAGTACTAAAATAAGAACCCATAACAGGTACGCCCAAAACTCCAAAGCAGGCCCAAGAGTATATCCTTTCAAGTGGTAGACTTTATGCTATATTCTTGGCTTGCTTGAGTGTGCTAATCAACATCAGGAAATGGTAAACTATTTGTCGACCATGTCATTTGTCTTTTATAATGGATGTCTGCTAGTCTTTTATTAAAGAGATGGTGGATGTGTGTTAGTCGAAAAATAAAAATAAAAAATTCATTCGAGTACGACATCTAACTAAATCTCTACATGCCAAAAGGCCACGCTACTTTAGAAAATCATACATTTTTATCCTCCAATCAAAGTCAGCATGGTAGACAAAATTATAGTAATGATAACAAGGAAAGATGGTGACAGTTTTACCTCTTCACCGTATTTTTCATCAGGGACTCCAAACACAACAGCTTGAGCAATGTCGGGATGAGATAAAAGGATGGTATCCACTTCAATTGGTGAAATCTTTTCCCCTGCAATTGTGGAGATAAATAATTAATGCTCTTTTTAAGCCGGAAAAAATATGCTTCAAATAAAGTAGTACTTCTGTTATGTAGAATGCAATTAACAAAACTACAAAAGAATGTAATCTATCTATAAAATTTTCGAAAAAATGATTTTAATGATCCTAAACCTAAAATATAAAATTGTACCTCCACGGTTGATCAACTCCTTGATTCGACCAACGAGATGCAAATACCCATCGGAATCAAAGAACCCAATATCTCCTGTGTGGAACCACCCGAATTGGAATGCGGATTTATTAGCCTCCGGGTTGTTCTTGTACCCCTTAGTCACGTTTGGACCTCTAATGCAAACCTCCCCATTGACATTAGCCTCTTGTTGCACCCCACTCTCATCCAATATCGCCATCTCTTGACCCACAGGTTTCCCGACTGACCCGGGCTTATGTGGGTTATCCTCCGGCAATGGATTCGAAGCCATCAGGTGGCTTGCCTCTGTCATTGCATAAGCCTCCAAAACAGGTGCGCCGAATGCCGCCTCAAGCCGAGCTAATATGGCAGGTGCCAATGATGCGCTGCAGCTCCGAATGAACCGCAGCTTTGGGTAGTCGGTTTCACCGCTGCTGAGGTGGCGGTCTAGTATGATTTGATGAATGGTAGGCACGGCAGTGTACCACGTGGCATTGTACTTTTTCATGTCTGACCAAAATGTTGAAGCTGAGAATCGGCCGGCGGCTGGGAGAGCCACCGAACCTCCAGCTCCTAGCGAGCTCAATAACCCTGCTAACAACCCATGCACGTGAAATAACGGTAACACGATCACTGTCGAGTCTGACTCAGTGAGTTTATACACTGATTTAATATTTTGAACAGAAGAGTACAAATTGTGCTGAGTTAACGGGACGCCTTTGGGTCGGCTTGTGGTTCCGGAAGTATGCAGGAAGAGTGCCACGTCAGATGGGTCATTGACGATTTTAGAGACTGAATCTGGGTTTGACTGAGGCAAAGTTGAGGAGAGGGTGAGTTCCGAGTTGGCATCGGACAGTGTGGCAGTCACGTGAGGGATGTTCAGCTTCGAAGCCGCAGCTTCAGCCGGCTTGTTGCCTTCTTTCGAAGTCAACAGAATTTTTGATTCCGAGTCTGATAAGTAGAACTCAAACTCGTCAAAAGTGTAGGCCGCGTTGAGTGGGGCCGCTGTGGCTCGGACACGAATTACAGCCAAAAACATAATTACAAACTGCATTAAGTCAAACAAAAAAAATTAAAAATTGAATTAGTAAAAGAAATATTCCAATCAAAACCCTTAAAAAGCGTGAATAACGAGAAACACAATTCCTTTTTCTATACATAAAATGGCTTTTTGAGCTGGATAATGCCGAGAAAACCAACTTAAAATAGGCTTTTTATCACTGCCAAACACGCTGAAAGCGTGAATTCTAATGCAATTTTATAAAGTTTATAATCGCACAGTAAAATAATTTCTATTAAGAAACCGATTTTTAATACAAATTTTTATTCAAATTCAATTTCGATAAACAAGCGTGGAGTCCGATGCTATTTTAATAACTTTTTCTTGTTTGATGATTTTAATTCAATGGACTGGCAGCGTAAACAAAAGCTAAAATCCTATATAAAAAAATGTAATTCTTCCTCAAAATAATTATTAAAAATGAAAAAGATGAATGAAATTTACCTCGACGGTGTTGGGGAAGGTGAGGGCTACAACGTCACCTGGCTTCACGCCGGCGTCGAGGAGGCAAGAAGCGGCACGTTTGATGAGTTCATGGAGACGTGCATGAGAGATATTGAACTTGCCGGAGACAGAGATCGCTCGCCGGGAAGGGAATTTTCCGGCGACCTCGTTTAACAGTCCGGTCAGCGTCGAACTAGCCATTAATTGAAATTTTCCAAATCCTAGAAAGGCAGGATAAATTGAGCGTCCGTCGAGATAAAAATGTAGAACAGATTTGATAATAAATTACAAGAGATGATAGAAAAGTGCGTAGCAATGGCCGTTATATATAGAATTCACACGCGTACAAACAGTGACGGGTACCAATTGGCCTCTGGAAATGGGGGATTTGAGGTGGCGGTCATTAATTTACGCATTTGTTTCATGCTTTTCATTCAACTTTAGATTGTTTTAAATTGATCCTCTGACTTTATATTTTATTTCAATTTAATTATTTCTTTATGCAATCGTAATTTAACAATCTTAAATCTATCTTTCATACAAGATTTACATTTTCATTGAGCACATCTTAGGACACTTGGGTAACATATGTGACTGGATCTAGACTATATAACAAGTCTTTGGTTCAGAAAAGTCAAAATTGATGAAACTGGTGACTTAGCCCCTGTTTGGCCCCCATTATTGTAGATTTTTAGGGGCTTGAAATAGTGATTTTTAAAATAGTGATTGATGGGAGATGTGTGGTTGAAAAGTTTGAGATTTGTGTGTATTATTATTTTATTTGATAAATGTATGGTTGAGATGAAGAGAGAGAAAAATTTAATGTAATGTAATGAGATATAATGGGGGGCAAACAAGGGCTTAGTGAAATTGGCAACCCAATTTATAATGTTGATGACACAATTTATCGAGGCGCTGGAAATACATCAATCATGTCTTGTTATATTTTTGTATGGTGCCGATTGACATGCATAGTAAGACGACCAATTACATCACTTAGGTGACAAATTCTATCGGCGGATCATGAATTTCATCTTTTTGGATCACCGCTAAAAACATAAAAGTTCAATTGAAATAAAGTTGGTGATAAATTGAAATAAAATATAAGTTGAGTGATCAAAGATAAAATTATTGAATGATCAATACGTAACAAACCTAATAGTTGAGAGAAGGGAATTGCAATTTTCCCAGGATTGGGATGTGGTTGCACATGATATCAGCGGTGGAGGCGAGACGCGGGGGAGGTATGCCACGTGGATATTAAAAGGGAGAGTATACCTCCTACTGTGATTTCTGAAGTTTCCATAGTGCGAAGTCCTCTTAAAGTTTCCAGAAAGTCTCCAGGTTTGTTCCTTTGAAAGTTAAAACCCGTCGGGTCAGAAAAGGCGCCTGGGCTTTCGCTTTCGCCTGGATTATATTTTGCGCGTTTAGGGGGTGACAGTGAATCCAAATTGGTTGTCCATTATGTAGATTAGTTCAACTCATTTCTCCTCGAACTCGAATTTAGTGATAGAGCTTGTGGCATTTGCGAGCTGATTTATATTTAATTTTTATAAAATTGGTTTTATTATTTTATTTTTTTGAAAAGCTCCCGGCTCGACTCGTTATGAGTTGGCCCATAGACACAGCCTGGCTCAACTTATGGGAAATTAAGAGCCTTTCAATTTTTTTTGTTGAAGAACTAATTTTAAGTCTTTGAAGATTGTTCGAGGTTACGTCACTTTGACAAAAAGCGATTGACTAATGAAGTGACGTAATGTTAGATGAAAAGATACGATTAGATGAAAAGGTTGACTGTGTTAAAACTATTCAATGGTGAAGTGTCGTTGCAGCATGATTCTAGATCATATGGTAAGATGGCCAAGAACAATCCTGCTATATGTATAGGTTCGATGACAGTGTTTTTTTAATAAACGACACATGTCAGAATTTCATTGACAGTTAAGCCAAAAATATTTTTCAATCATCCAATTACATTTAGTTTTACAAGTCATCTTATCAAATATTCTCTGTTCAAATGACTTCTTCCAGCCAAGAATACGATGCTTGGCTTTAGTCATCATTTTCTTGGATATTTTAGAAGTTGATAAAGATCCATTTGCTGTCGAGAGATGCTACTTAATCCCCGGTCAAACCAGGGGCGCCAGCATTTTTGTTTGCTGCGGTACTCATTTATTCAAAATTATATTTGTCTTGCTTTTAAAATTAACGACGTTAATATGATTCTTTTGTGTTACGTGTGTGCTACAGCTTCATGTTCAAAGGATATACGCAATCTTGACCCAATAGAACATTGCCGTCAACGTGGCAGAATGTGAGTTGATCTAGGAAAAGTCCTCGGCCTCCGGATTGTCAACTGTTATTTGGCTGCTTTGTGCAAGTGGGCTCCAAACTATTTTCGGCTTCAAATTCAACGGAAAGGGTGAAGATTTGAAGTTGCATCTTAAAAGATCAAGTTTATTAAGAGTAGTAATTCGAATTCTTATAAATTGATTTATATTTTCATCTTTATTAGATGTCGAATTTTACCCCTTAAGTAAGATGATGACTCGTTTGAGCATACCAATCTTGGAATTAGTGTGCTTAATTTTTTGAGTCTTAATCAGATCGAAATGCTCGTTGGAACTTAACGATCTCTGATATCATATTAAAATTTGGGGTTCTATCTTAAAAAGTCAACTTTATTTAGAGGAATAGCCAAAACTCTTAGGCCATGTTTGATTGCACTTCAATTCTATGGAAGATGGAAATTAAATTCTATTTTTCACTTTTTTGCATGTTTGATTATCCAAATTTTTCATGGAATTGATTTTTCATCTTTCACCCATATGCTCATATTTTCTTGATTTTTGAGTGGAAAAAGCTTTTCGAATCAACTTTTTTTTATTTTTTATTTTTTGTAATGGAAACAAATTTTATTCTCAATTGTAATAAATTATATCTCTTTAATGAACAATTTTTTCATATAAAATAAAGTCAAACGAACACTAAAAAATTTAAAATTTCAATATTTTCCATGTGAAAAATTTTACCCATCAAGTATAATTCATTGACAATTCCCTACAAAACAAGTTCTAAACAATTTAACTCCATTTTCTTTCTACCCAAATTCCATTCTTGCAATAAAACGGCAAACGGACTCTTATAAATTGGTATAATTTGATCTTTATTCGAAATGGAATTTTATCCTGAAAAGCAACAGGAGAATTATAGATAATCTTCTTCATGTGAATGCCTTAGTCCAATGGCAACTTAAAATTTTAATTGACTATTGGCACCTTGTCTTGCACACCTCACTTCAAATTTAATTTAGTCCATGTTTTGCTAAGCTAAATAAATTATTCATAAGTTTACTTATTCATAGTTTGGTTTAAATAAAAACTAATTTTTTAATAAATTTTAATAAAAGTTGATGAAATGTAAGTCCCATAAAATTTGTAGTTGAAAGTGAATTTAAGTGTCAAACAAGGCTTAATTAAATAATTATTTTTATTAGTAAATTTAATTAAAAAGTTTGCAATAGAGATCCCAAAATTTTCAAAAATATATTGTTAAGTCCCCAACTTTTTAATCGTAGCACCTAAATCCAAATTTTGAAGATTTTACCTTTTTTATTTTTTTAAAACAAAACTTATATGCAGCAACTCCACCAAAATTGAAGATTGATCCTAAATTGGTTGTCCACTATGTAGATTAATTCGACTCATTTCTCCATAAACTCGAATTTAGACCATATTTGATTGCCACATTTTTCATGGAAATTGTTACATTCGAGGAAAACGAATTTCACTTTGACCGTTTGATTGTAACGAGAAAATGAAAACTGAATTCACAAGTACAACCACTTTAAACTGCATTTTCTTTGTTTTCATGAAAAACAAATTCATATGGATTTGTTGAGTTTTTATTTTTCAACTAACATGAAATTTGAATTCTTTTCCACCTTTGTCTATCAAATGGCTTGTGGCATTTGCGAGACGATTTATATTTAATTTCTATAAAATTGATTTCATTTTATTTATTTTTTATTTTTGGAAAAGCTCCCAACTCACTCGTTATGAGTTGGTCCATGGACACAAACCTGGCTCAACTTATGGGCAATTAGGAACCTTTCAATTTTTTGTTGAGGAACTAATTTTAAGACTTTGAAGATTGTTCGAGGTTATATCACTTTGACAGAAAGTGATTGATTGATGAAGTGACATAATGTTAGATGAAAAAGTTGACTGTGTTAAAAACATTCCAATGATGAAGTGCAACGTAACATTATGTCAACCATTGTATCAAGAATTATGTCGTTGCAGCATGATTCATGGAGAAATTCTAGATCATATGGTAAGATGGCCAAGAACAATCCTGCTATATGTATAGGTTCAATGACAGATTTTTTTTTTTTTTTTTTTAATATACAACACATGGCAAAATTTCATTGACAGTTAGGTCAAAAATATTTTTCAACCATCCAATTACAGTTAGTTTTACGAGTCAGCTTATCAAGTGTTCTCTGTTCAAATGTGACTTCTTCCGGCCAAGAATACGATGCTTGGTACAAGTCTCCTAATTGAACATTTTCTTGGATATTTTAGAAGTTGATAAAGATCCATTTGCTGTCGGTACTCATTTATTCAAAATTATATTTGTCTTGCTTTTAAAATTAACGACATTAATATGATACTTTTGTGTTACGTGTGTGCTTCATGTTCAAGTGATATACGCAATCTTGACCTGATAGAACTGCCGTTAACGTGGCAGAATGTGCGTTGATCAAGGAAAAACCCTCGGCCTCCGGAATGTCAATTGTTGTTAGGCTGCTGTGTGCAAGTGGGCTCCAAAGTCCAAAACTATTTTCAGCTTCAAATTCAACAAAAAGCAATAGGCGAAGTACAGATCATTTTCTTGAATGCCTTAGTCCAATGTCAACTTAAAATTTTAATTGACTTTTGGCACCTAGTCTTCACACCTCACTTCAAATTTAATTTAATTAAAAAGTTTGCAATAGAGATCCCAAATCTTTCAAAAATATATTGTTAAGTCCCAAACTTTCTAATCTTACCACCTACATCCAAAAATTGAAGATTTTTACTTTTTATTTATTTTTTAACAAGACTTATATGCAGCAACTCCACCAAAATTGAAGATTGATCCCAAATTCTCACGAAGGAATAAAAAAAAACAGAACTATGATTGAAGTGCTCGTACAAATATACAATAGATATTGCATTCGTTACTTCTCTTGAATTTTAAATTGTATGATTTCAAGCCAATATGAACCAACATTGTCTCAACATCCGTGATATTACTCTTTTTTAGGTGTATTTAAATGCTCCTTTATCTAATTGCCTCTTTTGTCAGTCCAAACGTTGTTGGCCTATTTATAACATCCACGTTCAGTTGCTCATTTTGTAAGATCATAATTTTCCCTTCAATCATGCTTGGTGTACAGTTTGTCATGTGAAAAATTGTCGTTTGTCAATTTTTTTTTTTAAAAAAACAATTTTTCCGTCCACGATTTTTCAAAAATAAAGGCAATGACCAGTCCCACAGCCCACTGAATTTTTTTAGATAGAAAAAAAAATTATGTGAAAAAAAAATTCATGTGTAATTTTTTTTTATTTTACGTTTAGCTCGATTTGTAATTCGACTTTGAATTCGTTCCTGACAATGACAATAATAATATGGCGGGGAGAGTGTACAGATGTAAAAATCCATTCTCCTTTGCTGGTACGCAACTTTTGGACTATTGTATCACATGATTGCACTTGCTTTATCCTGGGCGATATTAAATTTATGTCTATTATACGTGTTTTAAATTCCTTTGGCAGATGGTTGAAATGTTTTGGATGCTTGGATTTTAAAAAATAGTGAATTATTGGGGTATACCGTATATAATTAATAATGCATCATATGATAAAAATATTAGCTATAAACGATTTATAAAATCTGTCAAAATCAAACATAAATTTCAACTATACATTCATAACCAGATAGGGAGGGGGGGGCAAATATATATATATTTTTTATAAGGGAGTTTCTTTTTTTTAAAAACAATTTTTCATGAGTAAAAATTTTTTTTTTTCGCGTATTAGCCCGATTTGAAATTTTGTAGCCCGGTCTTAAATCCAATTCTGGATTCGCCACTGTTCATAACTATTATTTATAACTTGGTGTTGGTGACAATGGCTCGGATATGATAATTTAAGGAGGTGACAACAGTGGCTACGTGGTTGGTCATGGTGATGCATGTATTAATAAGTCACAATTTTAAAAAATTACACATACCATAACGCAAGAACACATTGTGTAAGTTACAAATTTAAAGAAATTACATGCATTGAACATGATTCAAATATAATTCGATATAGATTGCAGGTCACAATCATATTAAATGTAGATTTTTTTGTACAAAATTGAACACGTGTCAAAAAATTGAAATCCCAAATATTCAATAATTATGTGATTAACCATATAAAATATCACATGAGAGAAGAACTCGTCGCTATTTGATAATCACTCAAATTTAATTAAAAGATATGATAATTATTAATACAACAAACATAATGACTATTGATCACCTTATTCAAGAAACCTCATGGAGATCTGTCTTACATATAACATTCTACAACACACAGCCGAAAACTATCCGTCGGTGTCACCGTGTATTAGAGCAGGACCGGGCTACTTGTCCAGGGATTATGTGACCCTGTACGAGTAGAATAATCCATTCCAGTATTACTATGAAAAGTGTAAACTCGCAAGTATTTAGTGGCTTGTTTGGTATAATACTTGTGAAAATCTGTGTATGCCGGGAAATTATATCAATAAGGAGACATTGCTGGGGCAATCATGAAGTTTACGGGCTTGACACCTGACTCGGGGCCAGGTGCTACATATCCAGAGCTCTTGATTTCGCTCATTTCTCGACGCGCATTTGCTCCTTTTGAATCACATAATTTGGGAAGATATACACCTACCAAATAGATAATAAAATGTTACGCCTTTTCAATAGACTTTATGGACGAAAATCGTTATTACAAACGAGATATGATAATTAATGGAAAGTTGAATATAATAGTGCAACGAAAAACAATTGGGGAAAAATACACAAATGAATAAAAGTCCAGAACTTTCATTGCAATTAAAATCTAGTCCAGTGAAGAAAAATTGTGGTACCCTAAATTTTTTATCAAAAAGATATCTTTCTATAGTGGAGATATCAAGTTTACAGAAAAATCCTAAATTGGGAATATATGTATTACCTTCGCCAGCGGCAAGATTGAAGTAGAGATCAACAATGTTGGGGCAGCCACCATAGCATTGTGTTGAGCAGAGTTTTTGGGTAAAATGAGAGTCCAAAAGAGAGTCCGATGAAATTCCCAGCACATTCCTATCCAAGCCACAGGCCTTGATGCACTTATCGGTTTCAATCCAGTCCTTGAGTTTTTCGGCCTCAATTTCTGATGTTCGGCATGAATATATTTCATCGCCGGTTCTGCGCACGTGCTTCTCCAGCACGCATCGCTTTCCGGAAGATGATATTGCAAAGGCACACGAGTCTTTGTTCAAATTCTCGCAGGATATTTTTCCTGTGATATCATTTTTTTATCAGAAAAGAACAAATTCAATACGGTTATGAACAACTTGCTTTTATTTAAGGATTAGGGATCAATTATTTTATAATTTTTTAAAAAATACTCATGTATTTTATGTTGTTATGCCTTGGAAATGTTTAAGACGTGAGGCCCATCAAAACGACGTCGTGGTGTACGAATCTAAGTTATCTAACTGGTGAATTGACCATGTCATGGCGACATGGCCAATCTAATGGCTCATGAACCGAAGGTTGACTAAAAGTTGGTAGCCAAGGTCAATACGACGAGCTCTAAAAAGTTGAGCACAAATAATGTGACGGTTGAGCTTTAAATGTCGAGCTCGTGGATTCAAGGAAGAAAGGGTCAACAAAGGCTAAAACGAAAACATAGTGGAGTTTTTCAACATAATGTTTTCTAATGGTGAAAAAATGTGAGACGAAAACAAAAACGCAAATGTGTGTTGTAATTCTTGAAACAAGAAATTCACTAACCTTGTACTGCTTGCATGCAAAAGACCAGAGCAAGAACAAAAATTCCCAAACTATTCAAACCTTGATGTGAAGCCATGGTGATGATAATGGGAGCTTATACCACTTACTCGTGCTTAGACTTATTGCAACAAAGAGCCAACGGCAAATGCTATTTATAGACTAATGGGCATAGTAAGAAACAAGAAACTGGACAGTGTGAAAAATTCCACTTCCCATTTTCCTGCAGTTTGGCCAAGGATGACGGGATTGGGACCCATTTTGAAAATTACTTATTGGTAGACTGACGGTGGAGATTTGATAAGAAAACACAATCACCTGTCAAAATCATCTCCGCCACTCAAGGCGGGACAAAGGAAATATACAAGTTTTTTTCCAAAAGCATAAATCATGATGGTGGCGGTGGGTGTTGAGTTGCCTGTTGCCTAGAGTACAGACTTGGGCTGTTCACTTGTGGAGAAGTCACGCATGAAGTTTGGCACACAACTTGACTCTGAAGATTGTTGCTTGTCAGTATGTGAGTTGGCCCATTGAGTTCAATAATTTTTCAAATTTTTTTAGTTGATTTGTTTGTTAAAAGGGAAATGTTTAAAAAGGCTTTAATGAGATTTCCGACATGGAGAGTCCTTTCTTTAGCCAGATCATGTCGAGCATGAAGCTCTTGATTATGGACAGCTAGACTCGTCTTTGCGGTTATGAGTTTCATAGTATATGAATTGTGTTGAGTTGTTAAATATATGTAATTCATTTAACCTGTGAAGTAAAGATATACAAGTCACTTCATAATCACCGATTAAGTGATTGAATTTGGAATGTCAACACAAAATATATGACAAGCAAACAAAGGGCCCATTTGGAAGTTCGTTTGAAAAGTAAAGAAGTCTTCCTAACCTCAAATTGTTATCAAGAAGTCTCAACATTTTCACTCCTAAGTTTCCACAATGTAGGCTTTTGTTGAGTGTGGATATTTTGGTCTAATATTGAATTTTCCGATTAATAGAATTCGGTATTATTGTGATCATATTGTTTTGAAACCTATTACGCCTCTCGATGAGTTAGTGCAGAGGTGTAAAGTGAACTCGATGTGTTCGATTCGAATTACATTCTAACTTCTGTATAGATCTAATTTGTGCACGTGGATCGTTTGCTAATTCTCACATGATTTTTTTGTGTTGGAATCTATTTTAATTTTCAATAAAAGCCGTTTCTTTTTTGTAAATTCATTTCAAATTGAGTCTCGATTGTTTTAGAGTGTATTATTGAGTATATTTGATATGCATAACTCGTTAAAAAGAGCTGTAATTAGACAACCACACCAACATCCATTCTAGTGTAGGTGGTGATGTTTTTGGTTCCAATACAATTGCAGAGAAATTTAAGGAATTTGTGTCTTTTTTTTTTTTTGCAAGGGTAATAGAGGAATTACAGATGAAAATACTGTAAGAATTATGAAATTTTATTTTTCAGTGGAAATCAAAATTTCCTAACCTTTTTTTCTGTTTTTTGTTCCCCTATAATTTAGGGAAGATTACATAAATCATGCTTTTACTTTTACCTATTTCAAAAATCCCAAAACATGTTTCAAATTTCAAAATTCAGGTTTTTTTAAAATTTTTAATTATAAAATAATAATTACTAAATTAATTTATTATTAATATTTAATTCTACTATAAAATAATTAACCTACCCCCACCTCCACCACCCCTACACCTCCGGGGATATTCCGGCGACCTTTCCGATCACCACTCTTCTCCGGCGACTTTCCCGGCGAGTATGTTAAGGTCACAAATCTATACAATTTGGTCACAATTCGAAATTTTTTAGGTCACAATTCAAAATTTTCATAGGTCACAATTTGTTCATCGGTCACAACTTAAAAATTTAAAAGTCACAATAATTTCATCGGTCACAAACATCAATTTATTGGTCACAAATTAGTAATTTTTAGGTCACACAGCTTGCACTCGTCACAGTTTATTGAATTCATTGGTCACAAATTGTTTATTGGTCACAATCACAAAATTTATATTGTTCATCGATCACAAATTAAAAATTTAAAAGTCACAATTGTTCATCGGTCACGAATCACAAAATTTATAAGTCACACAACTTATTTTATGGTCACAGAACATTAAATTATAGGTCACATATTACTTTTATTGGTCACAAATTAATAAATTTGTAGGTCACAAAATCAAATTTTTTATGTGTCAACTATTTTACGGTCACAATTCAAAAATATTATAGGTCACAATTTGTTCATCGGTCACAAATTAAAATTTTAAAAGTCACAATCAACCAAATAATATGTGACCACAACAACACTTGTGACTACAACCTCACCACTGCCACCAACAGCACCACTGCCACCGTCCGTCAGAACCACCACCACCACCACCTTAAACAAATCAATACATCCCAAAAAACACCACCACGTTGTCGCACCAATCCACCACCACCTCAGGAGACCCGTCGCCACCAACATCTCAACACCACCAAAAATACCCACAGCCTCCACTACATCTAACATAACTCCCGCCTCCAACATAGTCACTGTCACCCAAACACCACCACCACAACCTCACCAGATCCAATCACAACCAAACACCACCAAAACCACCGCCACTAGAAGAAGCACCAAGGTCAAAAAACCAGACCACAATCATCGCCACCTGCACCACCAAACCAAAAAAACCACCACAGCGCCGTCCACTAGCCACAACACCCGCAGGTCCACCTGCACCACCGCCAAAAAAAAACCCTAAAAAACCACCATCATCCAGTGCCACCACATGAACTGCCGCCTCCAGTGCCACCATCATCCTCAATACCTTACCATAACAACCAGCAGTACAACCACCACCATCTCACCGCCACTACTACATCACCCCAAAGCCACCAAAACATGGAAACTACTACCACCCATCCAATAATTTAAAAAAAACAAGCACCATCACCGCGATTTGCGTTATTGCAGTCAGGATCTATTCCATCACCACCGCGATTTGCGCCGCTGCAACCGCAATTTGTAGAACCTTAGTTGGCGTTCACAGTGAAGGGATGGCCTTGGGCCACTACAGACACGATTGCAGCAAGAGGCGGCGCGGTGGTGGTCGTGGTGGGGAGAGAGAGAGAGAGAGAGAGAGAGGGGAGAGAGAGAGACGGTGAGAGAGAGATGGGAGAGAATGAAATGGTTAGGGTTTGTGGTGTATATGAATTAATTTATAATAATATTATTAATATATTGATTTATAATAAACATTAAATAAAAAATTAAAACCTGATTTTAGAAAAATTAAACTTCAAATCTGATTAATGAAATGTAAATTTTAAAAACAGGGCTAGGTATAATTTCCTCATTAATTTATTTGATCAAATACCTAAATGGACTCCATTGTTGATGGATCCAGCTGCGTATCATGGGCTTTAACCCAACCATAGAATTCTAAGATTTGGGCTAAAAGTGCCAGTGTTGGAGAAATATTTTTGGACGTAAATGCCCTCGCTATGTTTCATTATTTCTGATTCGTCCTCGACACTTTTATCCTCGAAAAGAGAAGAGGGAAAAAGTAAGAATGTTAGGATTTGGACGCTTACCAAGCCAGGCTACAACAATATAGCTCACAATTTGCAAAAGTATTTATATTGTTAATCCTTTTTTTAATATATATAAAAAGAACCAAAAAAATAAAAATGAAGACTAAAAATTCAAGAAGAGTATATTCTTAGAGATTTATTTAACAAAGAATTGAACTCTTTTTCATATCAAACGTGAAGTCTAACCTACCAATTCTAATACTTTAGAACAAGAAACAAAATAATAACATGATTGTTGGTGCTTAACCCTAACTACAAGATTAACTGAAGACCTCATCCATAAATTGAAGTCCCCAAATAGGAATTACCATCACAATTCAAGGATCGACTCAGCCCAATCACTATTAGCTCGGCACATTCCGACGTAATTGAAGGATACCATGATTATTGATTTGACTTTGATCACATCATCACCTCTTCTTTGCCCAACTCCATAATGGCATGTGGCAAAACTGACCTAAGTCATCCAATCAGAAAACAATTATGATGAATCAAATGCAATTTGCAAGGGACATCGTGATGAATTGTGAGAAGTCAACCTCTTCCTCCAATAAGATGACTTCTCAAGTTAAATGATTTGGCATGCCTAACAAGGAAAACAATGTAGCGACATCGGGGTAGCAGCCACAAACACTGTAGACGACATGACTATGGCGGCCAACTTTTCCAAACTTGGCTATAAATAGAGACAAATGGACCCATTGATGGACCACGACTTTTCACGCTTAACATTTCTATACTTTAACATTATGAAGGCAAAAATCAATTAAATTGTCTCTTTCCTATTCCATCTAATAAACTCGTCATAATTCTCGATTAAGTTGAACAAAATCGATTAATTCAGTTTTGAACACCAACAATGACAAATAAACTAAGGAGAGATAAATATGACAAGGAATGAAGTAAACTAAAGATCAGATTGACACAACCTTCATAATCCAAAAGTACTTAATAGAAAATGGATCTAGCGATCAAAAGCAACAATGAAATCAAAGAGAAAAATAACAAAGAAATCAAATACAGTTTAGTGCATATACCCCATCTGCCACCATAAAAAAATGTTGACTAGAAACTAAGGTGTCGTTCTCTTCGTATTTCAACTTTTAGTTTTGAATTCATTTTAAATTTTGTGTTTTGAATGTCAATTTTGAGATTGATGAAAAGACCTTTTTTTTTTTTGTCATTTTAAAAAATTGTTTTTAAAAATAAAAAAATGAAGTTTTGGTTTGATTTTAACTGAAAACAACAAAAACGACTTTTTTGGCGTTTTTCGTTTTCTTTATAAATTTTAAACTCATTTATAAAAATAGGTAAGTAAACGTGTTTTCAGTGTGTTCAAAAATTGAAAACTGAAAATGGTCTGAAAATAGCAAAAAGAACAAGTCCTAAGTCTTTGTTTGGCCCATATTTTTTAAAATTGATTTTCAACTTCACGTTTTATAGAATCCACAACTTTTCAAATCATATATTTCATCAACTTTTATCAAAATTTACTAAAAAAATTATTTTTTCTCTAAATCAAATAGTGGCGGAAACGATCACACATCAAGAAGAGCTAACAAATGTTGAAGCTCATTAATTTTAATGGAATAACAACAATCAACGCAATAGAGGTATTGCTGATTCTGAGCAAATGTTCAAGGTTGATTTGATCAACAAATTCTTTGATTACAAAAAATACCATAGTTGGATCCAAAAAAAAAAAAAAACTTCAACTCCATAATATTTGCTTATTCAATATCTAACTAGAAAATACTAGTCTGGTTTCCTAATCAAGCAAAAAACCTAGTACTGAATTAATAATGTAACCATAAAAAAAATGATCTAAATTCTTGAACATATTCTCAAACAAGTGACTACATCAAACTGTTAGGATTTTGATTTGGCATTAAATTAAAATAAATTTCCATTTGTCTATCTTAAAGAGAGTAGATTTTTCAATTTTCTACTTGTAAAGACTCTATTGTGAATCCACTTCGAATAGAAATCAAAGGCTCTCCTTTTGTGTTCCTATTAATAGAATGTTGTCATTTTTCTCCATTTATATTAGCTTCCAAATAAATTCTTTAGTCGAGGATCATGTGGATAAATAGAGGAGTTGATCTCAATTCTCAACAAATGGTATAGAGTGCTTAGTCATTTAGAGTGTTGGAGTATCGTGGAAATATAAGATAGTAACACGGGAAAGTTTGACGAGAGAATCAATTTTTGACTGGTAGCAAGTGGAAGTCAATATTGTTTTAATTCAGCATGGATTCGCATATATGGATAGTCTATACACCTCAAGACGATTGTCCAAAAAGTGAAACAAGTACAACTAATTGCTCAAAATCAATATATAAAAATAATGATTGCGTCGCAACAATGTGTCTCTTTTCCCGAAAATAGACAATGTTATTATTTGGAAAGAATATGTTCATCTTGTGGTATGTATTAGGCGGATAAGTTGTCATGATAGAGGATGTATTATTTTGTTAACGGGTCCATAATTTTACACATGGGCATTGGTTTGATGTTGATTTAGGGTGTTGAGTGGAATTTGTACCGATAGTTGGTGCACTTTGGGGAAAGCCACACGTGGGGGTTGCACCACAATTTCCCACAAGATTGTTCGACATGAGCCAATTTGAAATTCTTAGAATATGTTAATTTGAAATTTTATGGTTGAGACGATAATTCTTTATCTTGAAAATTATGGTTGTAAAAGAAAATGTTCGCTAAAATTTTTCATGTGAAGTGACCAAGAGGGTGAAAAGGACACGAATGTGGTTGAGGTATATTATTTGATTTGGTTGAGACACAGAAGAAATCTTATTTGGAGATCTCGAACAATTCAAGTCAAGGTAGAGATTGTTAGTATTTTGACTTGATATCGTCTAATCAAAACATGGTTGCATTTATCTATTCCAAATATTTTTTTAGTTTTCTACTTGCAACGGAAAGACTATGAATCCCACATCAAATGAAAATAAAAAGGATCTCCTTTTGTATTCCTATAAAAAGAGAGGTTTCTCCTTAGCATTTTATTTATCCCAATTTTGCAACTATCTTGGGATGAGACTTGGGGATCATTTGAAGTCTCATCTGGTATGAATTTTTCTTGATTTTGCTTGGAGTTAGAGATGTGAAAGATTTTATACGATTGTATTAATTTTTTCATATAGTAGAATATCTCTGTCTTTCACAATCCGTGATTTTTCTCCGTTATGTCTGTATATTATTATTCTTCATCTATTCATATTTTCTAGCTTTCAAATAATTTCTTTACACAAGGATCTTGTGAGCAAAGGAATTGATCATCAATTGCCAACACAAAACACCCATAAATTTCTCAAACCATTTAACACAAATTAACCAAGAAAAAACATGGACTACCCATGAATAATTGATCTATCAATAAATAAGAGAAGCATACACATGAATATTTGATCAACTAATATATAAGAGAATTGTATCTTCAAATTGTATATTCTTATGCTTTATAGGAAGAAAAGAAATAGATATGTATTTGATAAGCAGTAATGAACTGACCTGAAACCATATGCCCTCAGATGAATTTGGTGCAATATATTGATGGAAAATTCCTAAGGGATCACATGATCCAAAAAAACAAAACCAGTTTTTATCAAGCCTTGTTTTTATTATCAGATCAATGCGATCCCTTTGGAATCCTCCATCTGCACCAAGAATTAAAACGAAGCGGTGAAAATTTCTGATCGATGATAAATTTTTGCGATAGGACGTTCGCATAGTGATGAAAATTTCCATTGCTGATGCCGCAATATTTTTCGTGTGCAAGCACGGCCTTCTATCTCTCTATAGCCATATAATAGAGGATAGAGAGTTATGTTACTGTATTTGCCTTTGTTTTCTTGCTTATATTCTTCCTTTTGGTATGAATTGTGCCCCAAAAGTTAGTTAGTACATCCTTCTTAAGAGGTCCATCTTATATGATATGTAGCATTTTGAATTATCATATGTTTAATCTTAGCCCTTGTTTGGATTTACTTCAAATCAGTTTTTCAGTAGATTCTGATAAAATATAAATATAGCTGAAAAGTTAATAAAAGCTGTAGATCCAATGAAATGTATGATTAAAATTAATTGTTGACTTTAATTTAATTTTTTATCAAATTTTTGGGTGTATTGTGTAATCATACTGGACGAAACTAGATTATTCTTATATGTTATCTAATCACGTTTTTTATATGTACCAAACAAGCACTTAATGATGCTTGAAAACCCTTATTTCGTGGTCACTCCCAGTTGAGTTTATATTGTTTTATTTAAAAATGAAATTATCCTTCATTTACCAGCTAATAATTGTGTCTTTTATTTGCTGTTTCTAAATTCCATTGGGCATGATTAATATTTGTGATTTTCTTCAGTCACAATCAACCTCAAATAATGTATGTCCATGCGTGTTTGTGTGGTATTACGTTAAAATCTGACCTAAAGTTCGTGGCCATAAGATGACAATGCATTCAACCTGTCTAATCGTGTCCATGTTTTGGCTGAACTCAAATAAATTAATTACTTATTATAAGTAAGTTTTAGAGTAAATAATCTTTTTGATGGTTAAAGTTGAAAATTAAAAAATTACTTTGTTTCATACAATAGGTATTTAACATTGTTTAACCATCTCGTTAAAAAATTTAGAGGGAAAATTGTCTTCATAACATCCCATTACATGTATAGTTCAACGGTCAAATACGTGCACAATTTCATAACGGATGATGACGAGACTAAGCAATGTCAAAAAAAGCTCCTGAGGCCCGAAAAAAGCCCGAGCCTGTTTCTAGGCCAGCTCGTGGCTTGATGGCACCGGGCGAGGCCCGCCCGAGTCCCCTTTTTGGCATCGACCTGAGCCTGAAGCCAAAGCAAGCTCGGGCTCGTCACCGGCCCGTGTCACGGCCGAGCCGAACTTTCTTTTTTAAATTATTTTTTTAAGTTTATATTTATTATATATAGTTATTAATTATAATACGTATAAATTGCACAATATTTATAATGAATTTAAAAAAAAAAAAAAAACGAGTCGGCTCGACCCGCTAAGACTCAAGTCGAAGCTCGGGCCGAGCCTCATTTTTTTGGTCTAACTTTTGTTCGGATAAAGCCCAAAAAAGTTCGAACCTGTTTTGCTCCAATCGAGTCCGAACTTTGAGTTTTGGCTCGTGGACATGGCTAACAAGACTCGAAGACCTTTTTGGATGGTTTTGATACCATGTTACTCGTCTCATCTAAAAGAAACATGTACCCTTTTAAAAATTATGCTACACGTACGGAGATTCATTCACGGATTTTATAAAGGGGGACATTTGTTTCTTTGTGATTGGCTGTTGCCAAAACTGCAGAAACCAATCACATGGAGACAGTTGACCCCCTATATAAAATATGTGAAAGATTTCTGTGTACACTTAGAATTATATTGTCAAAGTTGTCAAAATAAATGGCTTGTTTTTCCCATTAAAAAAAAAAAATCTTTTCCAGAGACCTGTAGAAATGAAATAATCTCAAAAGTTAATTTAACTTACTTTTAAGTTTTGCCAAACAAACTAGCACGTTTCGATCTAACATTGGTGTGCAAAATATGGAATGTTTAGTGCCTTTATAAGGGCAGGAAAGAGTAGCAATCTCTAACAGCTAAGATGATGGGAAGAATAGAAACATTTTCTCCATCAAAGAATATGACACCTTTTTTTCTCTTTTTTAAAATAATTTCACACTTAAATCGAAAAAAATTTCTTCTTTTTTAATCACACATTCTCAAAAAAAAAAAAAATAATAATAATAATAAATTATTTTGTCACAATATATTGTTTTTTATCAAAATGGTGCTCACAGGGGCTTAATTTTTATAAATAAAATATATACTTAGAAGCGTATGTTGCAAGCAGTACCTAAAGTTGTATGAACAAATTTTAAATCCTTTTTTTTATATAATATTACTTATTACACCGTGATAAATAGATTAGATAATATAATAAATAAAATTTTAACTTTTATATTACTATTTAATCATTCTTATCAAACGTGTCATTTAGTCGAAACCTGCTGCTTGTTTGAAGAATGAAAAAGTTGGAAAAATACATTCAAGATTGTAAAAAGAAGAAAATGTGAAAGACAATTGACTCCCACTATGAATGGAGAGTATAAAATGCTGCAATATGATGCTGGATAAAGGGTGAAAATTAAGCTTTCCTACTTTTGACATTTTTCGATCTTGTGTGCATAAAACTATGCTGACTCATTGAATTACTTGACACTAGGTAGTGGACCGGACCACAATGTTCCTTTCTGACTTATTGAATTATTTGACACTAGGTGGTGGTCCGGGCCACAATGTTCTTTTCTGACTTATACCGGGCCGTGCTACATGTACCGAGGGGGGATTAACGAATGGTGTCCCCCCTCTCACATCGGGAGGTGGAGCCTCAGCTTCGTATTTTTTAATGCGCGCGGGGCCCGCAAATCATGTGAGAGGGGAGACATAATTCGGTAGTCCCCACTCGGTACAAACATCATTTCTCTATGATAAATAGGGTTTTGTCGAATTAGTAAGTTTTGATTTTTCGTTCGATATATCAAAGATTTATGGAAAAAAATTCATTTATCCTACTTTACCCTATTTCAAAAATAACAAAACAACTTTCACATTTCAAAAATCAGATATTTTAACATATATATACACATATATATAAATAAAATAAATATATATATTTATATGTTTTTCTATATTTATTATATATATATATATATGCCACCATCACCCCCATCGCTCTGGTGACTATTCCGGAGACCGCTTCGGTGAAGGGCAACTGCTCCGATTCAGGTAACCGTTCCGACGACTGCTCCGATTTCGATGACTCAGGTCACAAGTCACAGCTCAAGTCACAACTCAGGTCACAAGTCACAGTCCAGGTCACAAATCAGGATTTTGTTCATAGTAACGCGTTATTTTCAAATGATCACAGCACATGTTACAAAATATTTTTACACTTGGCTAAGATTAATATTTAGTCACAAATTGTAGAATTTTAATGTCACAACATTGGTCACATAGACTATATAGCACCACCTCACCACCACCACCGTCATACATACCCTCATTCAAAACTAGCCTGGTTTTTTTAAGCTGACTGATAGATCGAATAAAAAAATCCCAAAAAATGAGGCAACTGACTGATTTTTCGAAGCCTCCCTAATCCATTTGCAGCAGCAACGACCACTGCATCCAGTCTTGGAGTGGACGCCACCGAATGTTGGGAACGAAGGCGTTCGGAACAGTGAGGGTGATAACACTGCTGCAAATTGGGGCTGAGGGGAGAGTGAAGGAGAAGACCGTGACTGAGGATTAGGACAGCGTCGCGACGCTGCTGTTAGCATCGCAGCAGTGTCGCAACGCTGCCCTTGCGAATTAGGGCAACGTCGCGACGCTGTGCTAATTAGGGAAGGGTCAAATCACCGGCAGCAGCGTGGAAAAGGGAGGGAGAGGGAGAGGGGGAGGGAGGCGTTGCGGCAGCGTGGAGAGAATCACCGACAGCGGCGGCATGGAGAGGGAGAAGGAATGGAAATCAGAGAAGAAGGGATGCTTTAGGGAAGGGGGGTTGGGTGTATATAAATTATTTTTTATAATATTATTATTAATATTTAATTAAATCTAAAGAATATGTATTTATATATAAAAAATCTGATTTTTGAAAATTAAAGTATGAAATCTGATTTTAGAATTTCAATCTCCAAATGTAGGGGATGGTGTAATTTCCACCAAAATTATGTGTCATGCTCAATTTGGGCTTACAGGGTAAGGCCGAGGGCAGATTAGCCCACATTTTTTTTTAAAAAAAAATTTGTTTATTAGTGTTCTTAGATGAGTGTAATGAAAATAAAAATAGGCGTATTGTCATACATACTAAGATGAACAATACTAGAAATAAGAACAAACGTCAACAAGAAAAGATGACGCTGAAAGGATAATCAACAAAACCCATTAGAGAAACACTTTGAAAATTATACTGATTAATTTACACAATAAAGAAGTAACCTAACAAAATCAACCATATTTGCTAATTTTCCCCCATTTATAGAAGACCCACAAGTTTCGACTCCTTTACGTTATAAAACTCATTTTTTCTCAGACTTGTTTTCAACTACGTAATTTACTGAACCTACAACTTTTATCAACTTTTCAACCACGTAGTTCATCGAATTTTAATAGAATATACTAAAATCTAAAATTAGCCAAATCAAATGGGGGCTAGATATTATATTATAGTAATTATATGCAAATTGGAGTATTAACATGTTGATTGTGGCATCCATGAAAAGTCCAAACCAGTACTAAGCTGGAAGAATTCCAAAGACAGTTTGTGTCCCACCTATGATCTATACTCGATGCTTTCACGTTGATTTGCATCCTTGATACGGTGCATATGGGGTTTTCATGTTTTTTCTTTAGCATGAAAGTAGTACAAAAGGCATGGGAAAATGGCTAAGGATTTGACTGTCTTTTGTTTAAATTTCATGAAATTGCTGGTACCTTCTACTTTTCATCCATTTAAAGATTGAGGGCATGATGCTCCCATGATGTGCCAACTACGGAAATGGCCACCACGAAAATATATTGGGAAATTAAACTGATGGACATTTCAATTTATTTTCTTGATATTAAGAGAATTTTCAAGAAATTCTTTATTTTTAAAGAGCATATTCTACAATTTAGAGAGTAAATAATTTTAAATACTTCAACA